TAAGTTTTTTTCTAAATTCTAATAAACTTTCAAATTTAGTAGTTTTAAGTACCGAAACACATACAAACGACGCCCAATTTACAACCAAACTTCACAGAAATATACTTAAACCACATATAAGACCTGTATCGGGCGCCGGAACCCAAAATACGGGCCCCGATACCAACACGTTCTAATCAAATGTTATTTCCCATTTCCTTAAATATTTTCAGAAAACAATTTCACTCAAAAATTCATTTCTCGGGCTTGGGACCTCGAAATGCGATTCCGGGCATACGCCAAGTCCCATATTTTCCTACGGACCCTCCGGGACCGTCAAATCACGGGTCCGGGTCTGTTTACCCAAAATATTGACCGAAGTCAAATTTATTCATTTTAATATCAAAACTTAGCATTTTTCACAGAAATTCATATTTAGACTTTCCGGCTACGCGCCCGGACTCTGCAGGCAAAACGAGACGACTATAAATGAGGTTTTCAAGCCCTCGGAAGCACAGAATGGGTAAGAAACAGGTGATGACTTTTCGGGTCGTCACACTCTTAAAGATAGGTTTTCTTTCGCCTATCATGTAAACAAATTTTCAGAAAACCAATCTTGATATACTGATTATTCTGGAAACACTGTGATATGAGGTGGCAAAAAAAAAAAGAAAAAACAAAGAAGCTGAAAACAGCAAAGTTTCAAACTCTTGCAAGAAAATAAGAGAAATTACAAAATATTACAAAGGCCTATAAATTCAAAAAAGTCACCACACAATACTGGTTATACCTCTTATAAATCTTATAACCATAGTACTGTCACGTCCCAAACTATCCCTTAGACGTGACTGGCACCCAGCTAACACCACATGCTGGGCGAACCATACTTTCTTACCTTAGCCATTAATTTACAGCATTTGATTAATTAAATGAGTATCCAAATAATCTGAAAACTATTACGAACAATTAATATCTCAAAATATAAGATTAACACTATAACCCAAATCCCACACTAGACCATGGAGCATCTAAGAGAATTATAAAAGACCTCATATGAATAAATGATAAAGACTCTTTGGGCAGCCTCCACGAACAATGCGGCGGCTCACCTCAATAACTGAATCAACTCTAGCGAACTCGTCGGCTACTAGCTCCATCTTCACCAATAGTATCTGCATGGATATGCAGGTAAGGAGTGAGTTATACGTAAATATAACCCAGTAAGATCATCGACCCGCCACGTGAATACCTCTGGAACAAGTGTTAGAAAATACAAACACACAAAGAGCACAGAAATAATATGCACAGAAATTCTTTTACCATATAATTACTCTATAAGGTCCAAACAATTATTCAACAACAATACTATATATATATATATATATATATATATATATATATATATATATATATATATATAAACACATATATCAAATGTATCATTGTATACGGTTGAAATCAGGTATGCCCAATTTTCCAAGCTCGAGGGGTCATCTTAAGTCCCAGTTCAGGCAAGGTCGAGTCCGAGCCCGATGGATCAGACTCGAGCTCGAAGATAGGATGCAATGCCCGAAGGTCGAAGTACGATAAGTACCGAAGCCAAGTATACTCAACTCCGGAATAATGCCGTTATGGATTTCTAACAGAATGAGCGAGATTCCTGCCACGTCCCAAAATCATGGCGTAAATCTCGGAATAGAATTGTACGATTCCGTATGTAACGACCCGGCCATTTCATGAGTTACCGCCCCGTTTCACCCATTTCTGCTTCTTATTGTCTTGTCTAACTGTATTATGTGTTATTGGGTTGGTTGGCTCGGGTTCGGAGAGGTTTTAGTAAGGTTTGAGACACTTAGTCTCTTTTAAGAAAGCTTAAGTTGGAAAAAGTCAAACGGATGTTGACTTATGTGAAATAAGGCTTGGATGTGAATTTCAATGATTTGGATAGCTTCGGGAGGTGATTTGGGACTTAGGAGTGTGATCGGAATGTGTTTTGGAGGTCCGGAGTAGATTTAGGCTTGAATTGGCGAAATTGGAATTTTTGTGTTTTCCGGTTGATAGGTGAGATTTTGATATAGGGGTTGGAATGGAATTCCGGAAGTTGCAGTAGGTCCGCTGTGTCATTTGGGATGTGTGTGCAAAATTTCAGGTCATACGGACGTGGTTTGATAGACTTTTTGATCAAAATCATTTTTTGGAAGATTTTTGAACTTTAGGCTTGAATTCGATGTGATTTGGTTAATTCGATGTTGTTTCAGGTGTTTTGAAGATTGGTACACGTTTGGATAGTGGTATATGACTTGTTTGTGCCTTTGGTTGAGGTCTCGGGGGCCTCGGGGTGATTCCGAGTGGTTAACGGGTGATTTAGAGACTTGGTTGGACAACTGAAGTTTTATGGCTGCTGTCATAACCGCATCTGCGGTTGGGAGGCCGCAGGTGCGACTCCCGCAGATGCGGAACCAAGCCGCAGAAGCGGCCAGGCAAGGTGTCAGGCGGAACCGCAGAAGCGGGCGC